CATTCTAAAGTTCTCCACACACACACACAAATTCAACGAAGTTCGTTCTGTATGTATCGGACGATTTTCAGTTCTGTTTTGATCTTTCATTTAAAATAAGATGAATAATTGTCATTTATCTATTTGTTTACTACATTGCTTCCGACGCAGAAATCCACAAGAAACTTAACGGAGAAACAACTTTAGGAAATAACCAATTTTCACAGAAAATTTTTTGAATATATCATGCATTCTTTAATTAAGATTGTTTAGGTGATGCGTAGCATGAAGGATAAGCTCGTGAAGTTACAGAAACTTTATATTGATCAGTTCCAGAGAATACTTCATAAGATGAGGTTAGTTCTATATTTATATACTTTATATATTGATCAGTTCCAGAGAATACTTCATAAGATGAGGTTAGTTCTATATTTATATACTTTATATATTGATCAGTTCCAGAGAATACTTCATAAGATGAGGTTAGTTCTATATTTATATGCTTTATATATTGATGCAACGAGGATAGATAAAAAATATATAAATATAGAATTAATATATGGTCGAAAACAACAAAAACTTAGTTAGTTTTTACATATATCGTCAATAATTTCAGCTATTTCATCACACAGTTTAAATGCAACGAGGATAGATATAAAATATATAAATATAGAATTAATATATGGTCGAAAACAATAAAAACGTAGTTAGTTTTTACATATATCGTCAATAATTTCAGCTATTTCATTATAATTAAATCCGTCTAAAATATTTTAATTTGACTGGAATAATAATAAATCTTTTAAAATTCTCTGCGTTTTTTAGCTGTATTCGCGTAAATCATGTCTGATTATACTAGAGACTTGTTCAAAGACAGTTTATCTACATAGGTTTCATTTGCAATATTAGATAATTCTTAAATATTTTTTAATTCCAGGGAGTCTAGAAGATTATATTTAAAACAGTTAAAAGCAGAGAAGGAAGCAGGACTAATGAATATATTTAACCAACCAAGGTAATTTCAAAATAAATAAATAAATAGATAAATAACCAGTCAATCGTCATTCTACAGCTCTGTTTGCAGCGCAATAGTAGATGTCAAACTCATCAAAAATTATCAACTAAGAAAGATTGGTTCGAGAAAGTTTCAATTGTGTCAACTGTTGGTGGGGTTTTGTGGATTTTTTCTGCGCAGACATTTCCTCCTTCTGTCAACACTCTCCATTACACTTCTTACCTTTTTTTCCACTTATAGACTATCGCTTTGTCCATTTTGATAATTAATAACCTCTATTGCATTTTGGAGCATATCTGTCTACAAGTGCCTTTCAACTTTTCCCCATAACTTATTGAACACACCTCGTATCATCTAAATAAATAAATAAAACAGTCACCCATCAGTCCGAAGAGAGGTGACCTATCTGACTATGAAAGAATGGAAGGAATGTTACACTTTTATTGTGTGTACGGTATGTACCTAATGTACTATATGTACAGGGATATATCTTTTGAACTATCTGAGAATGAAAAAATGAAAGGATTGCTACACTACAAATTTATGTACTGTATGTACTGTATGTACTGTATGTACTGTGTATACTTTATGTACTGTATGTAGTGTGTATACTTTATGTACTGTATGTACTCTGTAAAGGGATATATCTGGTGAACTATCTGAGTATGAAAGAATGAAAGGAATGTTACACTACAAGTGTAGGTACTGTATGTACTCTGTACAGGGATATATCTGGTGAAATATCTGAGTATGAAAGAATGAAAGGAATGTTACACTACAAGTGTATGTACTGTATGTACTCTGTACAGGGATATATCTGGTGAACTATCTGAGTATGAAAGAATGAAAGGAATGTTACACTACTATTCACCTGCGGGAAGAGAAGCTTTGCTTGCTCTAAGACACAGGTATAATAATACCCATACTTAACTATAAAGTTTACCAGAGCTGGGAACTTTTGAATGGTGGATATCGGAATTAATGCTTGATCCATTATTTTTCTTAATCTTGAGATTAAATAACGCTTGTTCTCCTTTAGTTATTAATCTCCAGATTAATTAAAACATCAGGATCAAGGATATCACATTCTAAAGTTCTCAGCTCTGACTTCTTAAAGAAAAATTTTATGGATTTCTTTAACTTTAAAAATGCCTTCTTTATTTTTTATTTACGTACATGTGATAAAATTATAGGAAATATGAAACAGGTTTAAGTATCAAAAGATTTATCTATCTTAGAGAGCGTCGAACAGGGTTGATTTCTGGATCTAAACCAACCTCGAACCCTCCCCCTTGTCAGCATATTCTCACCACTACAACTAGATGCTCCGCCCCCTCGGTACCTATGGCCAAGTTCTGCCTCAAGCATATCCTGGAGGAGGTGGGGCAGGTTCTGTACCGCCCCTGTGGGGTGGTGACCCCTGCAGATGGTCCCTGTGAGACCCCTGTAGCATCAATGTTTAATCAGGATACTTGTGTATTCCACACTAAACTACTATCACCTTGCACCAGGTTAACTTAATGTTAAGCTTGATTAAAGAGACTTTCAATCCTAATTAAAAACATTCCCGTGGTTCTTCAGAGTGTCCCAAGGGGTTCTTGAGTTATGATCGGTTATGTGAAGAAACAGAGATTACTACTTTACATATATATTTGTAAGTCACACATGTGCGTTCTGATTCGGAATTCCTTCATTTACATTTACATAATTTACATAATTTACATAATGGAACATTTCTGCTTCAAATCCAGCCAGGACAGTAACGTTGGTTTCCGGAAATAGTCGGGATCAGCACGGATACAATGTTGTCCTTAAAAGAGTCGGGAAGCGTTATTATCTTTTATATAAACATTAGGCCTTCAGGAGACGTCACAGTAATCTTAGAAGTTTAACATACTAGAAATTCAAGGCGCTTCGCGCCCTTCTTTCTAGCCTTAGAGGGCGCTTCGCGCCCATCTCCTAAATTAATTGTGAACATGTTCTCTTTGTGTACATCGTAAAACAAAACAAAAATAATTCGCGGATTTTCACAAAAAATTCGCGGATTTTCAAAATTTTAAAAAATTTAATGACGATCGAATTTTGATGGAGACAAATATTTGAAATTTTGATGATTCATAAACCTTCCCTGGAGTCCCTAGATGTCCCACAAAAAATTTGGGCCCGATCGGTTCAGCCGTTTTGACGTTTATTGGATACAAACAAACAAACAAACAGACAGACAGACAGACAAACAGACAAGCCAAATTTATATATAGATTTCAAAATTATATTCTGTAAAAGTTAGCTTTTTTTACAAACGTACTTAATCTTGACTTAGGCTGATATCTTCTGTCTGTGAAAAGATTTAGCAAAAATTTTAGAAAAAGTGAACTACTCTGATTGTCTAATCCTTGCATATTTAAAACCCAATGTCGTAGATCTTAGATATCTGGAACCCCTGGACCGAATTGCCTTAAATTTCTTAGTTTTAAAAAACGAAAATTTTGCTTCCCGGTGAAATCGTTTAAGTGCGGGTAAACGGCGGGAGTAACTTTTAGTAACCTTGGCAGCGCTGGGTTCCCAAGCTAGTACGGTAATATTACAGTTGCTTTCAACATTGCCTTATATAAATTAAACTTTTAAACATCAGCTCTGTTGTCTCTAAAGTTTAACTATTTCTGTGCGACCCTGAAGCAGCTTCATAAGTTTGTATTTTAGTCCGAAGAGACCGGAGAAAAAGGAAAAATCTGTCGGCAAAGAGAAAAAATCCTCCAAGTTGAGAAGAGGAAAATCTGCAAAGGATGCAAAAGAAGAAAAGGTTGAGGTAAAAGAAGAGGCTGCGGAGGCTGCTGTTAAAGCAGGAGACGACAACGAAGAGGTTGGAAAGAATGATACAGAAACGGCTGAGCAAGGGGTAAGTTCAAATCATAATTTCTTGAAATATAAAACACTGATTGCTCAATACTTGCCTTATGCTCAATATCTGAATCCATATATCTTTGTAACCTCTTGTGTTAGAACTATGAATTCTGCCAGATCAAAATGTTAATATTAAAGGTTTAAACTGTCAGGTTCCCAAGTTAGAGAGATTAGTAATGGATTTGAAGATAAATATTTTTAAACATCAAACAAATTACGATTTACGCAATGTTGAAGAGATTCAGAATTATTTTCAAAAACTTGGGTTGAACCCTTTATATTTTGACTTATACTTGTTTAATCAGAGTATTGGGATCTTCATTGGTAGATAGTTTTTATATTGTAATATTCTAAAAATTGTTACAAATTATTTAGATTTTATGAATAATTATTACAGATTATGAAGTTAAGTCCGATTAAAGAAGAGATCTCCCAAATATCAGCAGAGATGGATATTGACAAGAATATTACCGCTAAAGCTGACACTGCAGACAAAACAGACAAAATTAACCCGACCGAGAGTGAAACTGAAAACGATGACAAAAATCGGATCACAGCGGATCAAATCGATGACAAAAATCAGATCACAGCGGAACAAATCGAGGATAAAAGTAGGACGGGAAAAGACGATGAGGATCACCCCGAGTTGGGTAGTACTAGTACGGGAGGGATTTCCAGCGTCGATAAAGAGACAAATGTGACTGAAAAATAAGATTGTAATGATAATATGCATCTGTCCTAAGATTATATAGACTGTAGAATAGGATCATGTAGAACTGAACGGATTTCCTATTTTGTTGTAATTATCATGTTGTAAAATAACAAATATAGAATCGTATCTGAAACATTAAGTTGGGTGATGTTCTTTAGGAAACTTTGAAAATAGCATCTTCGTTTACGATTTAGGGTCCTAATAGGGACCGTAGGCGTAATTTCAATTGACCCTCAAATTATAGAGTGGCATTGCCGATTCACAACGGTTTCCTAGAAATCTGTCTGGTCATCGATATCAGGGAAATGCTTATTTTTCTTCCTGAAATTGTGTGCATGAACTTTTCTGGAATACTGAAGTTTACACTAGTATATTGTAATGGATATTATGAACTTCATGCAAATCACTTCAATTTTTTTACGAAAATAGAAAAAAGGGTTTTCAAATCTTTTTGCAGATAAAACTTAAACAACTCCGCCATTCTTAATAAGTCATTAAAAGGAAATAAGAACTAAAAAGTGACTGATTCTATAAATGATAATAAATAATGATCCATTATTTTGATATAAAAGGTAGCAAAATATTATCTTAAAATATGTCAGTAATTTGAAGGAAAAATTTCTGCTCCAAAATGGATGAATATTTTGTTTCTGTGAAACGATTTATTTTTCTTGATACTTGGTAGTTAATGACAAAGCTTTAGCGGTGTTATATCGAAGCATATCCAAGCTTTCCATATTAAGATACAGCTGTACATTTTCCTCTGTACCTTCTGCACCTGTACATTATTGGATTATAGTTGTACACTGTACAAGATTACCCTTAAAGAATGAGACTTTTGTTCCCCACAGTTGTAAATTAATCACTGAAAGATCAAATTTTAGGCAAGAGCCTTAGTTCAACCCTTAGATTGTAGAAAGTCTTATTCTGTATGGTTAACCCTGTACATTTATAAAATGTCTATTTATTTAGCACCTGAACCTTTAAAGACTAGTTTCAGCTTGGGTTGAAGAATGTTTGAGCAAAGATCAGTCCCAACTATTATATCCAGGCTCCAGGATATACTGGATATCTAAATATATTTACTCAAGGAAATTCTAGATTCACTGGATACTTAAAAATGTATGTTGCAAGAAATATATGGATATTTAAGCTTCTACGTCCCAACTATTGTATCCAGACTCCTAGATATACTGGATACCTAAATATCCAGTGATATAATGATAATCTACAGTTTAGAGCCATTGAAACAATTTATAAAATGTCGTCTTTAAACCTACTGATGGAATGCTGCAGATATTGAATAATTACATGGAGCTCTCAAAAACTATTCCCACATATTTCATGATAATTTATTTATTTTTACCATTACTAGGCTTTTAGGGCGCTTCGTGCTCATCTTCTATTTCAACTTTTAATAAAACAAAAAAGTTTGCAGTTTTTAAAATATTTTTTCGTGGATTTTTAAAATTTTACAAAAATATTAAATTTTTGTAAACAACTTTTTGAAAGTCTGAGCATCCATAAACCTTCTTTGGGGTCATATGAGCTCTCACACAAAATTTGGGTTCAGCCGTTTTGACGATAACTGGATACAAACGGACAGGCAAGGCTCAGATTAGGTTTAATAGTAAAAAAAACAATTGAAAAAATGTTAAGACGACATTTTGTAAATTATTTTGATGTCACCAAAGTTATGGGTTTAAATGTAAGTAAACACACTCCAAGGTACTTTATCAGATGCCCGTATCTCTCCTATCATATTTAGGATATCTTCATATATGGATACTAGGCTAGTTCAGGACGCTTCTCGCCCATCTTCTATTTCGATTGCAAACATGTTCTCGTTGTATACATTGTAAAACAAAAAATTCGCTGATTTTTTCAAAAAATTTCGTGGATTTTCAAAATTTAATATAAACCAAATTTTGGTGGCTACTAATTTTTAAAAACTTTGATCATTCAAAAACCTTCCCTGGGGTCATGTTAGACTAGACCCCACGGACAGACAGAGAGACAGACAGACATACAAGCAAAGTATAAATATAGATTTGAGCAAATATCCGCCGTTGCTAATATCCAGACTGTGGATATTTCTCGATTATATGCAGGGAGACCTTAACACAGGCATACAGGGTGTCCCACGAAACATGACGGTTATAGCAAGACGACTTAAACACAAAATTCTAATACATATATATAAATTCTTATACAATTTCTACATATATTAAAATATACTAGGCTTTCAGGGCGCTTAAGAAAGTCAGCCATATCCGGATTAAACAAAATATTTCGCATTTTTTTCTGTTTAAATTGGTGCAATTTCAAAAATAATAAACGTTGACTTTTCTCCGGAGAAACTTTTAACTTCTACCAGTGTACACTTCCCTGCAGTCATGTAGGACGGAAGTGGCCACATTTACAAATTTGGTGTTGATGATGAATGATGATCCAACCCCCAGTAAATAAAGTAGATGTTAATTACACACTTTTTTGCTACATACAAATTTGATTCCGATTAGTTTTGACGTTTTATTGGAAACAAACAAACCGACAGACAGACAACCAATATAATTATATTATGACAGCTCACCTCTATTCCAGGAATCTTAATTTCTTCACTTTTTGCCATTTTTTATCTAATTTTCATTCATTTAGATCAAAATTATAAAGAAATCAAAAAAAAGTGATTGAAATTGAAATAATTATTAACACGGAATTAAGTTTCAATGTGTAAATTAAAAAATCACATAAATTAAGTTAAAAAGGAATAATTGTAGCTAACTAAATTAATTAGATAATACTAAACTAATCTAACCACACAACCTTTATCAGTAAATATTCACATGGGCGTAAACAGCATGGGAGGACTTTGAGGAGCAGTGCCCCCTCAATAGATTAAATCATTGTACATTCCTGACTATTCACGTAACAGACTTAGCTTTCGGCTAGCTCCCTGGTATTCATACAGAGATAGTTTTTGGCTCCCTGGCATTCATACAGAGATAGTTTTGGGCTCCCTGGTATTCATACAGAGATAGTTTTTGGCTCACTGGCATTCATACAGAGATATTTTTTGGCTCTCTGGCATTCATATAGATAGTTTTTGGCTCCCTGGCGTTCAAACAGAGATAGTTTTTGGCTCACTGGCATTCATATAGATAGTTTTTGGCTCACTGGCATTCATACAGAGATATTTTTTGGCTCACTGGCATTCATATAGATAGTTTTTGGCTCCCTGGCGTTCAAACAGAGATAGTTTTTGGCTCACTGGCATTCATATAGATAGTTTTAAGCTCCCTGGTATTCATACAGAGTTAGTTTTAAGCTCCCTGGTATTCATTTTTGGCTCACTGGCATTCATATAGATAGTTTTTGGCTCCCTGGCGTTCAAACAGAGATAGTTTTTGGCTCACTGGCATTCATATAGATAGTTTTTGGCTCCCTGGTATTCATACAGAGATAGTTTTAGGCTCCCTGGCATTCATACAGAGATAGTTTTTGGCTCCCTGGTATTCATACAGAGATAGTTTTTGGCTCAATAATTAAGTGTTCTTTGCCAAAGCAATGGTCATTTTGTCAGATTTGTACATTGTTTTTACAAAAAACTTATTTCATGATTATTGTGGTGTCAGTGTTTGTTGCTTATACCCCCCCCCCCTCCCCAAAAAATTGTTAAAGTTAGAAGATGTTAGTAATAATTAATACCGAGCTTAGAACAATTTCTTAATATTTATGAAACTTTTTGTTTAAATCTACTTGTACCGGCACGGGGCGCAACTTCTAAACTTTGAAGCTAGGAGGAGCAGGGGAAGGCAGGCAACCATTAGACACAACATTTTCCCCTTCCATGCCACTTATTAGCTTTTTGTCTTCCGGCAGCCATAATCCACAACCGTTCGGTCTTTCAAACAATTTTGAATTTTTAAAAAACGCAATTTTAAGGATTTACCGTTCGGAAACTTAACAATTGCCGGAAGACTGAAATGTTGTGGCATGGAAGACCGTTAATTTTTCTTTGGTATGAACAATTTGCTTGCCTACAGTTTCTGCTGTAGAAATCCCCGTGTTTCTTTCAAGGAAAGTCGTAAACAACACTTCTATATTTTTAAAAAAGAAACAAAGATATCTCATTTGTTTAATGGCTTAGATGGTACGTTTCTATACTGATAATCTATCTATTAAATGTTTGGGAGGGGAAATATTATATTTTAACAAAATGTTACATAACCCCGAAATCGTGAAGATGGCTGAAGCAGGATGGTGGGTGGTCCAAATCCATAGGTCTTCCTTCTACACTCTATCTATCTATCCATCTATCTATCTATCTATCTACCTAAATTTCTATCTATCTATGTATATAGAAGCAATCACGATAGAGATGTTCAAAATGGAGAACCTGAAAGATATTGAACTAAATGGAGAATTAAAATAAATATCTAAATGAAGAACTAAAATAAATATCAAAATGTAGAACCAAAAATAAAGATCTAAATGGAGAACCAAAATATAGATCCAAATGGAGAACCTATATATAGATCTTAATGGAGAACCTAAATAAAGATCTAAATGAAGAACCAAAATATATGTAGATCTAAATGTAGAACTAAAACAAAGATATAAATGGAGAACCAAGAAAAAGATCTAAATGTAGAACCAAAATATAGATCTAAATGTAGAACCAAAATATAGATCTAAATGGAGAACCAAAATATAGATCTAAATGGAGAACCAAAATAATGATCTAAATGGATTTCCAAAATAAAGAGCTAAATGAAGAACTATATGATAAAAAATATAAATATTGTAGAACTGCAGAATGAATATCTAAATTGAAATCAGAAAATGTCAGATACCTTTTATGATGCACTTTAGTGATAAGATGTCAATATCTTCTAAATATTATTCAAATAAAGTGCTAAATGTTGTTAAAAAAGGGTTAAACAACCTTCAAGGGGCTGGAGACGTAAATTTAACTGACCCTCCATTTTAAAAAGTGTCATGTCCGATTGACATTGATACCCTTTAAACCTTTATCGGATCAAGAATGAATATTTATATTTTCTCTCTGAAAATCGATTATTTTCGATTGTGACTTTTTGTAAAAAAGGCTCGCGCACTGATGATGTCGAGACAATA